TGGGCCGCACACATGCCAGGCGAGTGCCCTACCACGTGAGCCACATCCCCAGCCCCCTTCTTTGTCTCTTCTGATTATTTTTTGCTTGATGTCTTTGTTGGATATGAGAGAGTAGCTACTTCTGCTTGTTTTTGAGCTCCGTTTACATGGAATATTGTTTCCTTCCTTTTACTTTCAAACTGTGGCCATCTTTGCCTGTAAGATGAGTCTCTTGCAAACAACATATAGTTGGATCTTGTTTTTAATCTATTCTGCCAGTCTATGTTTCTAACTGGAGATTTGAGACCATTTATATTGTGTTATTATACATATAGATATAATAATTCCTGCCATTTTGATTTCTTTCTTTTTTTTAAAGAAAGAGAGAGAGAGAGAATTTTTTTTAATATTTATTTTTTAGTTTTCGGCAGACACAACATCTTTGTTTGTATGTGGTGCTGAGGATCGAACCCGGGCCGCACACATGCCAGGCGAGTGTGCTACCGCTTGAACCACATCCCCAGCCCTTGATTTATTTCTAATATCTAATTTGGTCCAATTTCTTATTTGCTTAGCTAGTCTTCAAATGAGATTTTTCCATTCGTGAACTCTATTTTTTTAATACCTTTATTTTATTTCTTTATTTTTATGTGGTGCTGAGGATTGAACCCAGTGCCTCGCATGTGCTAGGTGAGCTCTTTACTGCTGAGCCACAACTCAGTCCCAACTCTGTTTTTTTTTTTTAATTGATTCTATGTTTAGTATTTCCTTATTCATTTTTAAATGTTTTTTAGTTGTTGATAGACATTTATTTTATTTATGTATTTTTATGTGGTGCTGAGGATCAAACCCAGTGCCTCACACATGCTAGGCAAGTGCTCTACCACTGAGCCACAACCTTAGCCCTCCTTATGTATTTTTTATAGTGCCAGCTTAATGGCCATGAATTCATTTAGTTTCTCCTTATTGAGAAAGATTTTATTTCTTCTTTGATTTTGAAAGATAGCTTGGCTGGATAAAGCAATTTTGATTGAGAGCTATTCTCCAAGATCCTCCCTGGATTTTAGAGTTTGTGCTGAGAAAGCATTAGTAATTTTTATTGGCTTGCCTATAAATGTGACCTAATGTTTTTCCTCTTGAGGCTTTTAAAATTATATCCTTGTTAGGCATTTTAATTATAATGTATTTTTCTTTCTTTCTTTTTTTCTTTCTTTCTTGTCTATTTGAAGTTCTGACTGCCTCCCATATCTGGATGTCCATCTCATTCCTGAGGTTTGGCAATTTTTCTGTTATTATTTCCCTAAAGAGGTTATTCATGCCATTAGCATGCATGTCACAACTTTCTTGGATTCCAATGATTCTTAAATTTGGTCTCTTAATTTTGTCCCAGAGTTCTTATCTTTTCTGATCATGGTTACTTCTTTTCTTTTCTTTATTACTGTCTGAATGTTTAGAGCTGGCCACTCTGTCCTCTATATGGTCTACTCTGTTAAGAGATTTTCAACTGATTTTTTTTTTAATGGTACAAAGGATTGAACCCAGGGGCACTTAACCACTGAGCCCTTTTTTATATTTTATTTAGATACAGGGTTCCACTGAATTACTTGGGACATTGATATGTTGCTGAGGCTGGCTTTGAACTCATAATCCTCCTGCCTCAACCTCCTGAGTCACTGGGATTACAAGTGTGCACCATCATGCCCAGCTCAACTGAATTTTTTATTTGATTTATTGTGCCTTTCATGTCCAAGATTTCTGTTGGGCTCCCTTTTAATCTCTACCTCCTTATTAAATTTTTTATTCATTTCTTGTACTGACTTCCTTGATTCATTGTTTTTCTGTGTTCTCTTGGAATTCATTGATCATTTTTATAATCATTCTTTTTAGCTCTTTATCTGGTATTTCATCCACTTCAATATTTTTGGAGGCCGTTGCTGGTGAATAATGAACCTTAGGAGGTGTTATGTTACCTTGCTTGTTCATATTTCTTGTGTTCCTGTGTTGGGATGGATTTCTCCTTTTTTTTTTAAGTGCCTCTTTCTTCCTTCTGCATCAGTTGGGGTTTTATTTTTTTATACATGTTTTTTATTGTCAATGGACCTTTATTTTAATTATTTATATGTGGTGCTAAGGATCGAACCCAGTGCCTCGCACATGCTAGGCAAGTGCTCTACCACTGAGCCACAACCCCAACCCCTGGATTTCTCTTTCACTTTTATATGTGGGCCTTTTTAGAACACAGTTTTCTCTTGGTGAAGTGTTCTGGGAGCTGGATGTGGTGGTCCATGCTTGGAATCCCAGCAGCTTGGGAGGCTGAGGCAGGAGGATTGCAGATTCAAAGCCTGAGCAACTTAGCAGCGCTGTGTCAAAATGAAAAATAAAAAAGAGCTGGGATGTTGCCGCAGTCTGTCTGGCTGCAGCAAAATAACCGGGGGGTGACGAATAACTTATGTATGTTGATACAGCAGGAGTAGGAGCCCTTTATTGCAGGACAGGAGCAGTATTTATACATTCCACAGAGCTTATCTAATTAGCATAAACTAGATACATCAGTCAACCAATAAGGAATCTCTACACTTAATGGCTCGCTTTTGTTACTTCTCAAACCACTCCCTCTGGCATTTTGCCAGGCACCATCCAGACTTGTTTACGAACTCTAACATTCCCCTGGCTAAATGCCAGGTGTTATTTTGACTTGTTTACAGACTCTAATATTTCCCCCTTTTGTTTAATTTAAATAACGACCATAGTGGTTTTTAAAGAAACACCATAAATAACCTGCTACAAACAGAAAGGGAGGATACAAAATGCCACAATACCAAGCCAATTGATGGCTCCATGCAAGAAGCCCTTGGAAAAATTATACCAGCAATGACACTGTTAGCAAAGATACCGAGTTACAATTTGTTATAGATTACAGTTTGTTGTCTCAGTCCAGGTAAAGCAGTGTCTCAATAGATTAACTCACAGTCCAGGTAAATCACAGTCCAGGTAAGTTCTGCAGGCAGCTAGCTTAAATCACAGTCCAGGTAAGTTCTGCAGGCAGCTAGCTTGATATGAAGTCTCATCTGGTTCTCAGCAACACTGGAAATTCTTCTACATTTGTTTTCACCAGCACTGGGATGAAGGCAGGAACTCTGGATGGCTAAAGAAAATCCTGTAGCATTCTACTAAGAAAACAACCTTCTGAACAATTTAGTACATTATATCAAGGTTTTTTTTGCATTTGAAATAAGCATTAATAGTGCTCATTACTCATTAGCTTCCAGGTGTGGGAGAACCATTGTAGTTACTGGTCTTGGAAATGACCAAACATCAGGGACGCCACCGGTAGCGTCTTTTGCTGGCTGTAGGGTCCTGGGCAGCCCCAGATGGCCCTGGGGAGTGTCCCAGATTCAAACTGCTATTGGGCACAGGGAGCAAGAGCCTGCGAGACCGTGCCTCCAAGTCAGGTCTAGATTTGGGCTCTCAGCAGTGGAAGAGCCGGCTGCCGCCGTTTGGAAAGCCCTTGCTGCGCCATGACCAGCTCACGCATGTGGCAGCCGCAGCTCCGATTCACGCACCCTCCGGTAACGAAAAGTATTCAGTAATAGCCTTTTGCTGAAACTTTTTTCCTGATAATCCTTCCTCCTTTGATAATCTTTCTTCTTCTGAACTTTCTGTTTCTTTCTGACTAGAGTTCCTGGGCTTCTATCAACACATGCCCTAACTATTCTTGGTTCCACTGGGGTGCCTTCTTCCCTTAGTAATTTACTTAAAACCCCTTCCATATTTTCATCACAAAGACAATACAACATTTTAAGACAAAACAAGACACAAACATACTGTATCAATCTTCTCCATTTTCTCGAAATGGCCATTTTTCCTCTCGCCCCATCTGCCTAGGGACGAGCAGATTTGCTCCCGTCCTATCTATGGACGGGCAGCTTTTTTTTTTCGTCACTTACCCCCAAGTGTCCCGGGGCTCCCCGTAACGGGCCACCATCTGCCGCAGTCTGTCTGGCTGCAGCAAAATAACCGGGGGGTGACGAATAACTTGTGTATGTTGATACAGCAGGAGTAGGAGCCGTTTATTGCAGGACAGGAGCAGTATTTATACATTCCACAGAGCTTATCTAATTAGCATAAACTAGATACATCAGTCAACCAATAAGGAATATTAGAGTCTGTAAACAAGTCAAAATAACACCTGGCATTTAGCCAGGGGAATGTTAGAGTTCGTAAACAAGTCTGGATGGTGCCTGGCAAAATGCCAGAGGGAGTGGTTTGAGAAGTAACAAAAGCGAGCCATTAAGTGTAGAGATTCCTTATTGGTTGACTGATGTACCTAGTTTATGCTAATTAGATAAGCTCTGTGGAATGTATAAATACTGCTCCTGTCCTGCAATAAAGGACTCCTACTCCTGCTGTATCAACATACACAAGTTATTCGTCACCCCCCGGTTATTTTGCTGCAGCCAGACTGCGGCAGGATGTGACTCAGTGGTTAAGCGCCCCCAGGTTCAATTCCTGATAACGCCCCCACCCAAAAAAAGAAGAAGTGTTCTGGGGTATCAGGTTGTTGTAAATTTTTCAATATATTTCCAAGTGGGTTTTGTAACATGGATTTTCTGCTAATTATAATTGACAATTAGTGTTCTTTGATATATATTATTTCAGAGCTTGAGGATTCCACTTTCTCTATAGGTCTCATAAGAGTGGGGTCCTTGGCCAGGTGCAGTGGCCCATGCCTGTAATCCCAGCAGCTTGGGAGGCTGAGGCAGGAGGATTGCGAGTTCAAAGCCAGCCTTAGCAAAAGTGAGGCACTAAGCAACTCAGTGAGACCCTGTCTCTAAATAAAATACAGAATAGGGCTGGGGATATGGCTCAGTGTTCGAGTGTCTCTGAGTTTAATCCCCAGTACCTGCCCCCTTAAAAAAGGGTCCTTCTTGTAGATCGGGCAACTCTGTCACATACATTGGGGTATGTGGGGTCCACTGTCTATAGATTGCTCTTCTAGGCTTAACAACTCTATTTTTTCACATCAGACAGGTAATGTGCTGATGTTATAACAAGGTTTAAAGAGAGGGACACAACTCACACAACAGTGTAACCACCTAATCATCATGTTTATACACCAAAAAAGACCACAACTCTGTCTATTCTAGAGGGGTACGGAGTGATCTAGATTGTGACTTCTAGTAGGTGCAGTGTCTTTGTGGTAGGTCTCTCTGTTGGGCTGTAGTGACCCCCTAGCTGTTCCTACTTCATCATTTGGGGGTTTTCATCTCTCCTCTTTATTGTGGAGCATGGTTAGTGTGTGTGTGGAGCAAGGTGCACTGTCTCTTAGCTCAGTCGTGGGCCTAACTCAGCAGCACAGTCTCTAACCTGTCGCCCCATAGTGCCCCCAGTAGGTTCCCAGGACATCACAGAGAAGGGGAATAAACAAGAGCAACAGTAGCAGCAAACAATATACAGCATTAAAATGAATACCTGGTGCCGACCATGATGTCCACAGCACTCCTTACCCCAGAATCAGGAATGGCAGGATCAGCAATTAACACCAGCAGCAACAACAAACAGCGGTGAACTAGATCTAGCATTCAAGCAAATAGCAGGGTCACCTGTGCCACCTGCAGCCCTGATAACCTCAGCAATATGCGTGCGACGGGGCAGGAATTACACAGGCCCAACGGTTCTGAGAGATGTGCAGAGTATAGTTCATTAAGAGAAAAGAGAACGTGATAGGAAGGTAAAAGAAAGCTTAGAACGTTCAAAATGTGAACAGAGAGAAAGAGAAGAAAGGCAGGAAGCGATAGCTGTAAAGAAGAAGGGGAAAAAACAAAAGAAAGAGAAAACAAGAGAATTTGGCTATTAGAGGGAGAAGAAGGAAGACAATGAGCAATGAGAGGAACAAAACAGACAAAAATATCTAACGCTCAAAGACAAAGCATAATGACAAATGGATATAAAAAAGACAAAAACACAAAAAAGGAAAATATGCATGTGTGTGTTTGGATCCACAAACCAATCAGCACAGTAAGAGCAGCCAAACCCAAAGGAGGGGCGGGGCTCAGCGGTGGAGCGCCCGCCTAGCACGCGAGAGGCCCTGGGTTCCATCCTCAGCACCACATTAAAATAAATAAAATAAAGATATTGTGTCCATCAACAACTAAAACAAAAAGAAAAAAGAAAAAGAAAAGAACTTCTTAATGAAAAATGAAAGCACTGTCTCCACGGAGGTGGTTGAGACAAGGCTGGATGCTGACCGCCTCTCTTCCCATTTCTTCCTGGCTTATGTGTACTTCAGAGAGAGCAAGGACCTTCCTCTGTCTGTGCTGCTCACTGAGCTGACAGCTGAAGTGACCTAAAACCTAGGCTAGTTGAAACAGCTCTCAGCCTCTCTTCTCACCTGGATGAGGTGGGACAGACAGACGGGAGTACTGTCTTTGGAGTTTTGTTCTGACAGACGAGATCAAGGCTCTCCCAGCCAGGGGCTGACACAGAGTTCTAAAAGGAAAGTTTCAGCAGCTGGAGTTTCCCTCTGACCGACCCCTGGAACTTCTTCAGGTGGTACCTGCTCTGGAGAGGTTAGACCAACACACTCCCCAGGGGCCTGCAGATGCTGATCTCTGCTGCAGCCTCCGGAGCCTTGGATGTGTAGGAGAGGGTAGCAAACCCTCCACAGCTCTCTCACCCTCCACCACCCACAAATAGAGCATTTTTAGGTGCAGAACCGAGTGTGATCATACCTGCCTGTTCCTTCTCCTGACCCTCTTCAGCTGGCCGCATGAGCCACCAGGCCCCAAGGGAAAGCCAGTTGCACTCCCCTCCATATCTCTGAGCTGAATCCCTCCAGTACCTTCTTCTCTGTGCCTGTTCCAATTATGTTCTGGCGCACAGTAGGCATTTGCCAGGACATTTGCTATGATCTCTCAGGCTCCTGCCTCCTCAAGAGGGCTCCCGCCTCCCCTCTCTGCTTACCAGCTCACCGTGCAGCCTCTGCTTCAGCTGGGGACTGCTTTTCAGTTCTGCAGGGTTTTCTGGTGGATTTCCCAGGACATAAAATAATAACAAAAATGACAACAATTATTAACCTATTACATACAATCCTCTCAAAGTTAATTCCCATGTTTCACTTTGTTTCCTTGTTCTTTTCTTTTCTTCTTGCATCTGCCAATGTACATAAAAACACTCTCTGCTAGACCATGAGCTCCATGATGATCTGGATTCATTTAACAATTGGTTTCCTTCCTAAGGATCCCACAAAGAACTGAAAAGTACCCAAGAGCCAAATGCAGCTACTCTTCAGGGCCTGGTGGTCTTTGTTTACATATCCTGAGTTTAAGCCATTAGCAGACGCTAATCTTAGAATCTCAACTCTTAAATTCCCTTGAGAGAGAATTGGGTAGTCCCAGGCTGGACCGGGTGCTCACAAGCCCCCATGTTGCTCAATTACAGGTTCGTGACTCCTAGGCTTCATCTTGGAGCCTGAGTGTTGGGCACTGTTGCACCTGCACAGCTGGAAGGCCGGAGCAGTAGCCCTGAGTGCCCACTAGGGTCCGCTAGGCTTCCAGGGACCTGTGGGGCTCACGCTCATGCCCAGAGCACAAGCATATCTCTAGAACTACTCTCAGGCACGCAAGGGCAATTTCCAGAGAGGAAGGAGTGGACAGATTTGATATTATAAAAGTTGATAGTTATCATCAGATTCCCAAAGAGTCTGTGAACTCATAAAAGATTAGAACCTTCTAAACAGATCTTTGGTGATCACATAAAAAGATCCATGTAACAGCATGTATGAGAATCCATCTGCACTACTGGGCACCACCACATTTACTAAGAAGTGGGCTTGGAGTGAGGTTGGTGTCCCAGGATATGAAATAATAATGGAAATGATAAAATTTGTCAAAGATTTACTTTAAACAGATACTCTTCTAAGTCCATGACATGTGAATAATTGTTAGTTTTTCATTGCTATGACCACAACACCTGACAAGAACAACTTAGAGGAGGAAAAGTTTATTTTGGCTCATGGTTTCAGAGGTTCAGTCCCCAGTGGGGTGATCCATAGCTGGAGGCCCACGATGAGGCTGAAGAATATCATGGCAGAAGGGCTTGGAGGAGGAGTGCTGCTCCACTGTTCATGATGGCCAGGAAGCAGAGAAAACAGAGGGGACTGCAGGAAAGATGAACCCTTCTCAGACATGCCCCAGTGGCCCGCCTTCTCCAGGCACGCCCCACCTTCCTACGTTACCACCCAGTTAGTCCATTCAGAGTTGGATGGACTGATTAGGTTATAGCTCTCATAATCCGATTGTTCCACCTCTGAACATTCTGCAGCAACATCCTGTGTTGGAGATTGAACCCAGGCATGCTCTACCACTGAGCTACATACCCGGTCTTTTTTCTTTTTTTTAATTTTTTTAATATTTATTTTTTAGCTTTTCGGTGGACACAACATCTTTGTTTGTATGTGGTGCTGAGGATCGAACCCGGGCCGCACGCATGCCAGACGAGCGCGTTACCGCTTGAGCCACATCCTCAGCCCCATCCCGGTCTTTTTTCTTTTGAGACAAGGTCTCCCTAAATTTGCCAGGCTGGCCTTGAACTTGTGATCCTCCTGAGAGCCTCCAGAGTACCTGAGATTACAAGGCATGTGCCACCACACCTGGCTTATTATCTCCATTTTACTGATAAGGTACCTAAGACTGCGAGCAGTAAAGAACTTGCCCAAGGTCAACAGCAAGCAAGTAATTGTTCAGGGTCTGTGCTTCTAGCTCCCTTGGTCTAATTAAAATAAACCCAAGGCAAGATAGAATGTGGAGAGGTCCAAGTTTGTCTTCCTCATTAGAAGGACAAGGAGGGCCAAGGTCTTCCAACTTCTGTCTCTGCAAGAACCAGGAAAAGTCCTCCAACACCTCTGACCAAAGCCCACCCAGGAAGTTCAAGTGGAGGCTACAGGGGGTTATCTAAAGTCTTTTCTTTTTTTTTTTTTTTGTTTTCCAGTGCTGCTGGTGGAACCTAGGGCTTAGTGCTTGCTAGAAAAGTGCTTCTTCTATTGAGTTACATCCCCCATCCCTGAAGTCTTTTCTTGAGACTGGTGAGATAGATTTTGAATCTCTTTGTGTTTCTTACTAACTTGGGCAAGTCTCAGTTTCTCCATATAGACAAGGGAAATAACAATGCCTGTCAAGGGTTAAAGGAGAGCATGTTCATAAAACACCAACAAGTCAGGTGCTGTGGTCCACACTTGTGATCCCAGATACTCAGCGGGCTGAGGCAGGAGGATTGCAAGTTCAAGGCCAGGCTTGGCAATTTAGTGAGATCCTGTCTCAAAATAAAAGGAATTAAAAGGGCTAGGGATGTAGCTCAGTAGTACAGCACTGCTAAGTTCAATCCCCAATTATTCCACTAAAACACACACACACACACACACACACACACACCGTAAGCACTCAGAAGATGTTGACTTTTTTTTTTTTTTAATGGTACTGGGGACTGAACCCAGGAGAGGGCTTTACCACTGAGCCACATCCCCAGCCCTTTTTTGTATTTTATTTAGAGACAGGGTCTCACTGGGTTGCTTAGGGCCTGCTAAGTTGCTGAGGTTGGTTTTGAGCTTTCTGGAACCTCTGGGATTACAGGCATGCGTCACCCACCCATCTTGACTGTAGTTTTTGTCTGTCTCCCACGTGAGGAGTTGAAGAGAAGAAAATTCAATACAGTTTTCTGGAGACCTGGTTCTGTAGGTCAGAAGTTTGAGATGGGCCTTACTGGGCTAAAATCAACGTGAGGGTAGGGCTGTGCTCCTCTGGGGGCTTTGCCTTTTCCAACTTCTAGAGGCTGCCCGCATTCCTTGGCTCATGACCCCTTCCTCCCTCTTCCAAGTCTGGTACTGAGATATGCATACACATTCAGGTAACCAGGATAGTTTCCCTATGTCAAGGTCAGCCAATTAGCATGCTTAAATCCAATTATGATCTTAATTTTCTCTCACCGTGGAGCATAATATATTCATAGGTTCTGGGGACTGGGACACAGGCATCTTTGGGGAGGGGCATTTTGTGGTAAATAAAAAAGCTCTGTTGTTGGGCAGTGATGTGCAGGGACTTGAGTCGTGAGCATCCTGTGCCCGGCAACCCACA